GTGTGTATTTTCTCTATATGTCTCTGTAGTTAGTGTGTATTTCACTATATGTGTCTCTGTAGTCAGTGTGTATTTTCTCTATCTGTCTCTGTCGTCAGTGTGTATTTCATTATATGTGTCTCTGTAATCAGTGTGTATTTCACTATATGTGTCTGAAGTCAGTGTGTATTTCCTTTAGTAGTCAGTGTGTATTTCCATATATACGTCTCTGAGGTCAGTGTGTATTTTCTCTATCTGTCTCTGTAGTCAGTGTGTATTTCACTATATGTGTCTCTGTAGTCAGTGTGTATTTTCTCTATCTGTCTCTGTCGTCAGTGTGTATTTTATTATATGTGTCTTTGTATTCAGTGTGTATTTCCCTATATGTGTCTGTAGTCAGTGTGTATTTTCTCTATCTGTCTGTGTAGTCAGTATGTATTTTCCTATATGTGTCTCTGTAGTCAGTGTGTATTTCCCTATATGTGTCTCTGTAGTCAGTGTGTATTTCCATATATGTGTCTCTGTCGTCAGTGTGTATTTCCCTATATGTGTCTGTAGTCAGTGTGTATTTTCTCTATCTGTCTGTGTAGTCAGTATGTATTTTCCTATATGTGTCTCTGTCGGCAGTGTGTATTTCCCTATATGTGCCTCTGTAGTCAGTGTGTACTTCCATATACGTGACCCTGTAGTCAGTGTGTATTTCCCTTTGTAGCCAGTGTGTATTTCCTCATGTGTCTCTGTTGTCAGTGTGTATTTCCTCATGTCTCTCTGTAGTCAGTATGTATTTCCTCATGTGTCTCTGTTGTCAGTGTGTATTTCCCTATATGTGTCTCTGAAGCCAGTGTGTATTTTTTCTATCTGTCTCTGTAGTCAGTGTGTATTTCCCTATATGCGTCTCTGAAGCCAGTGTGTATTTTCTCTATCTGCCTCTGTAGTCAGTGTGTATTTCGCTATATGTGTCTCTGTAGTCAGTGTGTATTTCCCTATATGTGTCTGTAGTCAGTGTGTATTTCCCTATATGCGTCTCTGTTGTCAGTGTGTATTTTTCTATATCTGTCCCTGTCGTTAGTGTGTATTTCCCTATACGTGACCTTGTAGTCAGTGTGTATTTTCCTTTGTAGTCAGTGTATATTTCCCTTAGTAGTCACTGTGTATTTCCCTATGTGTTTCTGTTGTCAGTGTGTATTTTCTTTATCTGTCTCTGTAGTCAGTGTGTATTTCACTATATGTGTCTCTGTAGTCAGTGTGTATTTCCCTATATGTATCTCTGTAGTCAGTGTGTATTTCCCTATATGCGTCTCTGTAGTCAGTGTGTATTTCCCTATATGTATCTCTGTAGTCAGTTTGTATTTCCCTATATGTGTCTGTAGTCTGTGTGTATTTCACTATATGTGTCTGTAGTCAGTGTGTATTTGCCTATATACGTCTCTGTCGTCAGTGTGTATTTTCCTATATGTGTCCCTGTCGTTAGTGTGTATTTCCGTATACGTGACCCTGTAGTCAGTGTGTATTTCCCTTTGTAGCCAGTGTGTATTTCCTTATGTGTCTCTGTCGTCAGTGTGTATTTTCCTATATGTGTCCTTGTCGTCAGTGTGTATTTCCCTATACGTGACCCTGTAGTCAGTGTGTATTTCCCTTTGTAGCCAGTGTGTATTTCCTTATGCGTCTCTGTTGTAAGTGTGTATTTTTTCTCTCTGTCTCTGTAGTCAGTGTGTATTTCACTATATGTGTCTCTGTATTTCCCTCTATGTGTCTCTGTAATCAGTGTGTGTTTCCCTATATGTGTATCTGTACTTAGTGTGTGTATTTTCCTGTATGTTTCTCTGAAGTCAGTGTGTATTTTCTCTATCTGTCTCTGTAGTCAGTGTGTATTTCACTATATATGTCTCTGTAGTCAGTGTGTACTTTCTCTATCTGTCTCTGTAATCAGTGTGTATTTCCCTAAAAGTGTCTGTAGTCAGTGTGTATTTCACTATATGTGTCTCTGTTGTCAGTGTGTATTTCCCTATATGCATCTCTGTAGTTAGTATGTATTTCACTATATGTGTCTCTGTAGTCAGTGTGTATTTCCCTATACGTGACCCTGTAGTCAGTGTGTATTTCCTTTTTTGGCCAGAATATATTTCCCTATATTTGCGTCTCTAAAGTCAGTGTGTATTTTCTCTATCTGTCTCTGCAGTCAGTGTGTATTTCACTATATGTGTCTCTGTAGTCAGTGTGTATTTTCTCTATCTGTCTCTGTAGTCAGTGTGTGTTTCCCTATATGTGTCTCTGTAATCAGTGTGTATTTCCCTAAAAGTGTCTGTAGTCAGTGTGTATTTCACTATATGTGTCTCTGTAATCAGTGTGTAATTCACTATATGTGTCTCTGTTGTCAGTGCGTATTCTCCTATATGTGTCTGTCGTCAGTGTGTATTTCCCTATATGCGTCTCTGTTGTCAGTGTGTATTCTCCCTATATGTGTCTGTCGTCAGTATGTATTTCCCTATATGTGTCTGTAGTCAGTGTGTATTTCCCTATATGCGTCTCTGTTGTCAGTGTGTATTTTTCTATATCTGTCCCTGTCGTTAGTGTGTATTTCCCTATACGTGACCTTGTAGTCAGTGTGTATTTTCCTTTGTAGTCAATGTATATTTCCCTTAGTAGTCACTGTGTATTTCCCTATGTGTTTCTGTTGTCAGTGTGTATTTTCTTTATCTGTCTCTGTAGTCAGTGTGTATTTCACTATATGTGTCTCTGTAGTCAGTGTGTATTTCCCTATATGTATCTCTGTAGTCAGTGTGTATTTCCCTATACGTGACCCTGTAGTCAGTGTGTATTTCCTTTTGTAGCCAGTATGTATTTCCTTTTGTGTCTCTGTTGTCAGTGTGTATTTCCTTATATGCGTCTCTGTAGTCAGTGTGTGTTTCCCTATATGTGTCTCTGTAATCAGTGTGTATTTCCCTAAAAGTGTCTGTAGTCAGTGTGTATTTCCTTATATGCGTCTCTGTAGTCAGTGTGTGTTTCCCTATATGTGTCTCTGTAATCAGTGTGTATTTCCCTAAAAGTGTCTGTAGTCAGTGTGTATTTCACTATATGTGTCTCTGTAATCAGTGTGTAATTCACTATATGTGTCTCTGTTGTCAGTGCGTATTCTCCTATATGTGTCTGTCGTGAGTGTGTATTTCCCTACATGCGTCTCTGTTGTCAGTGTGTATTCTCCTATATGTGTCTGTCGTCAGTATGTATTTCCCTATATGCGTCTCTGTTGTCAGTGTGTATTCTCCCTATATGTGTCTGTCGTCAGTATGTATTTCCCTATATGCGTCTCTGTTGTCAGTGTGTATTCTCCCTATATGTGTCTGTCGTCAGTGTGTATTTCCCTATATGCGTCTCTGTTGTCAGTGTGTATTCTCCCTATATGTGTCTGTCGTCAGTATGTATTTCCCTATATGCGTCTCTGTTGTCAGTGTGTATTCTCCCTATATGTGTCTGTCGTCAGTGTGTATTTCCCTATATGCGTCTCTGTTGTCAGTGTGTATTCTCCCTATATGTGTCTGTCGTCAGTGTGTATTTCCATATACGTGACCCTGTAGTCAGTGTGTATTTCCCTTTGTAGCCAGTGTGTATTTCCTTATGTGTCTCATTTGTCAGTGTGTATTTCCCTATAGATGCGTCTCTGAAGTCAGTGTGTATTTTCTCTATATGTCTCTGTAGTTAGTGTGTATTTCACTATATGTGTCTCTGTAGTCAGTGTGTATTTTCTCTATCTGTCTCTGTCGTCAGTGTGTATTTCATTATATGTGTCTCTGTAATCAGTGTGTATTTCACTATATGTGTCTGAAGTCAGTGTGTATTTCCTTTAGTAGTCAGTGTGTATTTCCATATATCTACGTCTCTGAGGTCAGTGTGTATTTTCTCTATCTGTCTCTGTAGTCAGTGTGTATTTCCCTATATGTGTCTCTGTAGTCAGTGTGTATTTTCTCTATCTGTCTCTGTCGTCAGTGTGTATTTTATTATATGTGTCTCTGTATTCAGTGTGTATTTCCCTATATGTGTCTGTAGTCAGTGTGTATTTTCTCTATCTGTCTCTGTAGTCAGTGTGTATTTCCCTATATGTGTCTGTAGTCAGTGTGTATTTTCTCTATCTGTCTGTGTAGTCAGTATGTATTTTCCTATATGTGTCTCTGCTGTCAGTGTGTATTTCCCTATATGTGTCTCTGTAGTCAGTGTGTATTTCCATATATGTGTCTCTGTCGTCAGTGTGTATTTCCCTATATGTGTCTGTAGTCAGTGTGTATTTTCTCTATCTGTCTGTGTAGTCAGTATGTATTTTCCTATATGTGTCTCTGTAGTCAGTGTGTATTTCCCTATATGTGTCTGTAGTCAGTGTGTATTTCCCTATATGTGTCTGTAGTCAGTGTGTATTTTCTCTATCTGTCTCTGTAGTCAGTGTGTATTTCACTATATGTGTCTCTGTAATCAGTGTGTATTTCCCTAAAAGTGTCTGTAGTCAGTGTGTATTTCACTATATGTGTCTCTGTTGTCAGTGTGTATTTCCCTTCAGCGTCTCTGTAGTTAGTATGTATTTCACTATATGTGTCTCTGTAGTCAGTGTGTATTTCCCTATACGTGACCCTCTAGTCAGTGTGTATTCCCTTTTGTAGCCAGTATGTATTTCCTTTTGTGTCTCTGTTGTCAGTGTGTATTTCCCTATATGCGTCTCTGAAGTCAGTGTGTATTTCACTATATGTGTCTCTGTAGTCAGTGTGTATTTCCCTATACGTGACCCTCTAGTCAGTGTGTATTTCCTTTTTTGGCCAGAATATATTTCCCTGTATGTGTCTCTGTACTCAGTGTGTATTTCCCTGTATGTTTCTCTGAAGTCAGTGTGTATTTGCCTACACATGTGTCTCTGTAGTCAGTGTGTATTTAACTGTGTGCGTCTCTGTAGTCACAGACACACACACATTATATATATATATATATATATATATCTATCTATCTATATATATATATATATATATAAATCTTTGTTGTAGATTCTAAGGTCTCTCTTGGTCTTGGTCCTGTCAGACTTAGGAAGTCCTGTTTCCTGATCAGTGTGGTTCTCTGCGTTGGTGTCTTGTCCCTGGAGATGTACTTTGTGCACCAAAAGAAAAACCTCCTCGAGCGACAAACAGTGTCAGATATGGATCTGGACATAAGTGTCGACAGAAAAGACTCCCTTCAAATGAATATTACTAATTGGGACAAAATGGAAATACGTGTACAGCAGAACAGAAACAAACCAACGCTTTTGAATATAACTGTTGATTCCAATTCGTCTGATAAATCAGTATCAGAACTTTATTCTGAACTGCAAAGAATGAAAGAAAATATTTCATATTCCTTAAATGAAACACAGGATGTTAAGGAGGCAAACGAAAAGATGGAAAATATTTCATCACCATCCATAAAAGGAAAACAAGGTGCGACTTTTAAGAAAGAGCTCAAACTTTCAAAACCTTCCTGCAGTGCGTTATTTGCAGGAAATGAATTCGAAAAAGCAAGATCGATCGCATTTTCTAACAAGAATCCATATTCGCCAAAGACCGACTACACATTGGCAACGAGAAGTTGTAAAGATTTTGTACGAAACAGGGGCTACATAATAAATTCGAACCCCGAGGAGACTGGGTTCCCTATCGCCTTTAGTATAGTTATGTACAAGGATGTGGAGCAGGTGGAGAGGCTTCTCAGAGCCATTTACAGACCGTCTAACATCTATTGCATCCACATGGACGGTAAAACAGCTGTCCAAGTACAACTTCAGATGAAAAGTATTGTTACCTGTTTCCCAAATGTGTTTTTTTCATCCACGCAAATTAATGTTAAGTGGGGAGGCTTTAGCGTTCTGGAAGCCGAATTAGTGTGCATGAAAGATCTGCTGAAGTATCCTGGATGGACATATTTCATAAATTTGACTGGTCAAGAGTTTCCCCTCAAGACTAATTTAGAGATTGTCCGGGTTCTGAAGATTATGAATGGGGCGAACAGTGTTGATGCGAACAACCAAAGGTGAGTGAGTGAGTGAGTTGTCCTGGTAATAACGTTCTTCACCTGGTGCAAACACTGCCATTTATAGTTTTAGCTTGCATCTTTGTTACTAACGCAGGGTCAGAACAAATACAGCATCGGATACCTTAGTGAAAAAGGGACTATGGGTTTCGATCCCATACTTGGAACATGAAAAAATCACACTTTTGGTATAGCACAAATAGTGTAAAAAGCGAAATACACACTATCTGTAACTCTATAACGTACCGTTGGAAATATGAGTGCATATATGTCAGTATATGTTGTTATTGCTACAAGTGACATTGGCTATGTGAATTATAACATAGGACTTAGTGCAGGCGATGAAGTACCCAATGATTTACCATTTGTTATTGCAGGAGGTGGATGCAGAGACGATGGGCAAAAGCGTTTCCTCCGCCTCATGGAATACATCCGTATAAGGGAAACGTACACGTTGTTGTCTCCAGAGGATTCGTGGATTATGCTATAAACGACCCTGTAGCTCAGAACTTTACTGATTGGCTGAAGCGTACCAAAGTTCCAGATGAAACCTTCTTTGGTACTCTGAACAATAACCCGAAGCTACGTGTGCCTGGATCGTCCTTAGGTAAAAGTGCGTGAGTGAGTTTGTTTAGCGCCATTTGAACAGTATTTCAGTTGGTATACGGCGAAGTGATGCAGGTCATAGACGGACACCAGTTTAGTGAACCCACGGGTATGGTGCTGACAAACCTAGAAATATTACTGAAACGAAGCAGGATTGGAACCCATGATCATAAGTTTCGGGTATGCCCGCTAATCTGCACCGCAGTGAGTGAGTGAGTGAGTGAGTGAGTGAGTGAGTGAGTGCGTGAGTGAGTGAGTGAGTGAGTGAGTGAGTGAGTGCGTGAGTGAGTGAGTGCGTGCGTGAGTGAGTGAGTGAGTGAGTGAGTGAGTGCGTGAGTGAGTGAGTGCGTGCGTGAGTGAGTGAGTGAGTGAGTGAGTGAGTGAGTGAGTGGTTTTACGCCGCTTTTAGCAATATTCCAGCAATGTCACGGCGGGGGGACACCAGAAATGGGCTTCACACATTGTACCCATGTCGGGAATCGAACCCGGGTCTTCGGCGTGACAAGCGAACGCTTTAACCACTAGGCTTCCCGACCGCCCCCATAGGTAAAAGTAGGAATGAGAGACGTTTAAGCCATGCGTTACAATGCAACAGTACATAAGTAGCTGACTTGTGTCATGTACACAGGTGGGCTATAGGGTGAAGAAACGATCAAAGTATACGATGGATTGCAATGTTACAGATCACAACGACCTTCACAAACGTGTGATCACAATAACCCTCCTATAGTCAGAACGTACTGTAACTACCTCACCCGAACAACAGCTATTTCTTTGAATGGAGAGAGGGGCAGTCGGGTAGCCTAGTGGTTAAAGCGTTCGCTCGTCACACCGAAGACCCGGGTTCGATTCCCGACATGGGTACAATGTGTGAAGCCCATTTCTAGTGTCCCCCGCCGTGATATTGCTGGAATATTGCTAAAGCGGCATAAAACCATACTCACTCACTCTGAATGGAGAGACCAAACAATCTTCTTTGGACCTTCATGTACAACACATTATTTTCATCCTATAAATGAGGACTCGCTGATCAGGTAGGTACTTTAATCCTGACAGAAGGCGTTTGTCAAAATAATAACAACCTCTGTTTAAAGAAAGAGGGGACATTGGTGGCCCAGTGGTATGTGCTGCACCTGTCCGTCCTGAGAATCGTTGTATTCCTTGGGTGAAATAGTCGGGGGTCGGGGGTCGGGGGTCGGGGGTCAGGGGATTGGGACTTTGGTGAAGATGCTAGAAGGAAATCTTTTTGCCTCAGCTTTATGCGAAACATTGTTCTCTGGGCATGCGGAATGACCCGAATGTGTTGTGATATAAAAGAAGGAGATTTGGCTCCTCCTTTCAAATATAAAAAAATGAATGTCTCTAAGAAGTGACTGATGTTTTCTTTGTTTGTTTTTTGTTTAACGCCGCACTCAGTTTTTCAGGATTTCAGTTAATTATACGATTTGATTTGAAAAACAAGGACTCGTTGAAATTCTTCAGACTTCAACAATATCTGAATGGTTTCAATAGCATTAACTATCTCTGAACGTCCTTTGTTCATCGACTCTGTACGTCAAACAACGCATGTAGCCGCACTTACAACCTGTCGCTCTTTTCACTAATACATTTTCCATATCAGTCAAGGGGAGATTTTAATCAGTAGTACGGTCTCGTGGTTTTGTCACGTTTGTTTTGCTTGTTTGTTTGTTGTTTAACGCCGCACTCAGCAATATTCCAGCTATATGACGGCGGCAGGTAACTAATAGAGTCTGGAACAGACAATCCATTGATTGGCATCATGAGCATCGATCCACGCAATTGGGATACGATGACATGCATCAACCAAGTCAGCGAGCCTGACCACCCGATCCCGGTAGTCGCCTCTTACGACAAGCATAGTCACCTTTTACGGCAAGCATGGGTTGCTGAAGACCTATTCTACCCCGGTTCCTCACGGGTAAGCAGTGACTGAAAACATTGTCGCTAACAAAGATTCCACTTGGTTAACTCGCCACCCTGTTGAATGTTTGTTTGTTTGTTGTTTAACGCCGCAATGTTCTAGCTATATGACGGCGGTCTGTAAATAATCGAGTCTGGACCAGACAGCCCATTGAATAATCTACGCAATGACCTCCGCAATTGGGATACGATGACATGCATCAAACAAGTCAGCGAGCCTGACCACCCGATCGCCTCTTACGACAAGCATTTGTTGCTGAAGAACAATGCAAACCCGGATTCCTCAGGGACCTGTTAAATGTAGAAGATGCGGGAGTTTCATATGTTTCCGATGTCCCAAGCCTTGCATCCCACTAATGTGTTATTACAAGACGTACTGTCAAGGTTAACATAGGACACACAACCCATTATATCAACTTTGGTACGTTAAAGAGTGACGTGAAATCAAATACAGATCACGTTATGTTTACCCATTGTACAAATTTACTGCAGTTTTATACTTCAGTCACCGTAAACTCAAAATATTAGTTAGACTTCACGTTTAAATTAAATGTTTGAAGGGATTTTTGAAAATACTAGCTTTCCATGTTAACGTAATGTTTAATGTGGCTCTTTTGAGTATAATAGCGGAATCCTTAGGATTTTCAGGTCGGTGATATCCTTATGAAGCTTTGTTTGTCAGCATTACTGCTTCTTCCTGAAGGGAATCCACTTTTACAGTCCCTTGCTGCGCGAAGATGGCATAACTGTCGTGCTCGTGGGAATTACCAAAGTGGAAGACGTCTAGCAGGGACAATCTTCTCACATTAAGCCGACACTGGCATTGAAATATACAGCTAAAATAACAAGCGTTTATACAAACTCATTATTCTGCTTATTTTTCAGATCGCATCAGTACAGACTATGATCTAAAGCCTTACATCGCCCGGTTCAAAAACTGGGGACCCCAATGGGGAGAGAAGTCATTTGATTGGCCCTGTAAAGGCAAGCGCGTGAGAAGCATTTGCATTTTTGGAGTGGGGGATCTGCCATTGTTGTCCTCTCGGAGAGAACTGTTCGCCAACAAGTTCCACATCGACTACCAGCCTCAGACATATGACTGTATGGACGAATGGATCCGGAACAGAACGTTACAGGAATACAACGGAACTTTTACTATGAACTATGACTTTTATGAAAACATGCCCCACTCAAAGTATATTTATAGAAACGCCACAGTGAACTGAGTGTACCTTGACAGCATTCACTTGTTAATCATTTAGATACAAGTGAAAGGTTCACACGTCTCGGCTCAAGGGGGCCACTGGCCACTTGGGCATTTTGGCAGGCCAAGCAGGTTATATCCCATTAGTTAGACGTCCCATTAGTTAGACGTCCCGATTGTTAGACATTTTTATTTGGGCAAAGACGGAATATACCTACAGGTGTAATGGATCAGTCCTAATTAGATGAAAGTACTGAGTAGGGATAGGGGACTCACAGTTTAGGGAGTATGTATGTTACAATTTCATTTAATTATCCTAAATAACCTTACTCTCAGCACAGGTTCAATAGGCATGAGATTAACTATGTAAACTATGGAGTAGCTTAATTGTCTTACTATATGATCGATCAGTTGAAGGAGTCGAGTTTAGATTATCTACTCATCAAACAAATAAAAATGATCTTGGGGTACGTGTCATTATCGGTATCGATATGGCTGGTTTAAGGAAAGTAGAGTACATCACCTCTCGGCGTGGAAGTAAGCAGTTGATATTAGATGGATATATTTACAACAGAAACCGCGAAAGGCAAACACATTGGAGATGTGGAACCATTTCGGAACTGATGGACCCAGAACCAACAACAACCTTGAGGGATTCCACAGCCGACTGAACTACCTACTGCCACATGTTCACCCTAACGTCTACAGATTCATTGAAGTCATCCAGAAAGTCGAGTTCAGTGAAAGGACTAAGGTGATGCAATTGAACTTTGGTGCTGCCGCAAGAGAATCTACAGAGAGACAGAGAACCGCCTGGTACGCCTCAAAAATCAGCTGCAGCAGGGTGACAAGTCTGCTATTGAGTATTTAGATGCTTGTGGACACTTGCTTCGTCTGGGATAAATAAACTGTAAAAGTTATTAAATGTTAAGTATAATATTAAAGTATCTATTTAAAGCTACTTGGCTTTGTTTGTCAGATCTTATCTGGACTATTCCATTTTAAAGTCTGAGGTGACAAGCCTAAGGATTAATGTGCACTCAACCGTTTAAAGTGTTGTTATAATCTGTCTAACTATTGGGACGTCTAACTAATGGGAGGACACCGCCAAGCATATCTAATATAAGTCATTGAAAATCATTGAAAATCACTTTGTCTGACCACAATATAAATCAATGTAGCAGTGATTACCCTAATTACATAGGGTTTGGCACCCACTCCTCTGTGAACAATATACTATTTGTAGGTAAGGATAAGATAAATGGATGAACAACTTCTTTATTACAATTAGGCAGCAGGTCTTTCGGGGTAGGTTCTAGCTTCAAACTTCAAACTTTTAGTCCTCCGTAAAACCACCACTGGTGGTACAAGAGGAAATGAGACAAATAATGCACAAGTGTCATTAAGATGGACATCAAGATGACTTTTCTTTAATTGGATATTTTCTGTTTTGTGAATATGATAATTATGAATTTTGCTAAGTTTTTAATTTCTTTAAAGTTTAACGAATCAAAGATGAAAACACATAATATCAGGCCAAATTAATTTTTTTTGAATATATTTTATTTGGGATGTATAGTCCTCTGTGTTCTTTGAGAGCTGGACATCGCAAAAAAAAATTAAATCCGTCTGTTATTGCTGGGGAATTACATAATGAATATGTTCTGTTCTTCCTAGAAATACGATGCCAGCGGCCAGTTTCAATAGGTGTTATTATCTGTAGTAAAATATTTTTAAAACATGGGTATGATATAGATTTTAGGAAGAGTAAGTATTTACTGAGTGAAGGTAGGTCACTTGAATATTGGTAATGCTTTCCTTCTGAAATAGTTTCTATATTGCTTCTTTAATTTTGATAAAACATATCCTTTTCAACTCTTTCGACAGTATTCACAATCCAATGACTATTAAAGCAATGTGGTGCATTAAATACTTCAGTCAGACCACAGTTATTGAGTAATTTCTGTACGTAGTTTAACTTTGGGTATATCTTTGAATTTGTGTTACGATCGGCAAATAAAAAGTTGCATAACGTATTTGACAATTTCTATGTATCAATATGGTTTACAGTATTGTGCCAGTATTTTATCATTTTCTTTTGTAAATAATTGATTAAAGGTACCCTTCCGAGTTTACCATATACCAGGAAGTTAGAGGTTGTGGATTTTAGACCAGCAGCAAGTTTGAGAAACTTTAAATGAACTTTTTCAATCACATCAGCGTCGACACATCCCCAGACCTCAGAACCATATACAGTAAAGTACGTTTATAACGAACACGCTTATAACGAACTGACGGATATAACGAACTGATTTTTTTGTCCCGACTATTTGCTATAGTTGTGCTGTATATATGCTTATAACGAACTACGGTTATATCAAATTAAAGTTAGAGGTCCCTTTGAGTTCGTTATAACCGTAGTTTACTGTAATAGAATTGGTGTGATCATGACGTCAAATGCTCTAGAAGACAATAAAGAGGGAGATTTATGTTTCTAGCTTTTCTAGGTAAACCAAACGAAGCTCCTCTGGCATTCTCTGCCAAGGTCTTAACCGCATGTGCAAATGTTATATTTTTTATTAAATTTTATAATAAGATATACATAAGAGTCTATTATTTAGAGTTCCCTATTTCCATGTTTGAATGATAGTTGATCTTTTTTTTGCTTTCCCTCCGGCAAACACAACAATTTACCTCCTAGCGATATTGACATCTAGCTTCCAGTCTGAGCAATGATCATCTAACGGTTTCTAGGGCGATTAGGGTTATCTCCAAACATAACGGTATCATCTGCATATAAAAGAGGTGATAATATTTTATTTACCTTTATCACCGTTATCAAGCAAGGGATGTACAGAGTATGGTTGACAAATAAATATATAGGTATGAGGCAGTGTTTATGCAGTCGAGTAGATAAGGATGTAGTAACAATGGAGTAGAGAAGCCTGTTATGTGGGTCGGTGAGGTGAAATGGGGTTTAGCGTCGCGTCCAAGATTATTGGACAATTATAGCAACGTGTATGCACATGCACTGACTCCGAGCCGACCAGTCCTTGTTTTAGCTCCTTAACGCCGAGCACCAGGCACGGTATCCACACGTACCATCTTTTAACGTCTTTTAGTATGACGTGGCCGGGGATCGAACCCCGGACCTTCCGCTCTCCAGGCGGACGCTCTACCACTAGACCACGGAGGCAGTCGCGGACAAATATATCAATGAAACATTAAATTAACAGCAGTATTATAACACTGTGCGTAATTTTCGGATATATATCCTTTGCAGCTTGCGTGCGTGTATTTCGTTACATTTATTTATTGATCAAACGCAGGCTCCACATATATGTGACTCTACTGCAGTGAATATTGAACAAATTGTCACCAGAAACATTTTAACTGGATTAATTATTTCTATTAATCATAATTATATATAAACCTTATTAACATTGATTTTACAATAATAAATAGACTTGACTCAAAGGAGTAAGTATATAATATATATGTTATGTATGGAGGATATTCTATGTGTCGAGTGACTTATCATGTTTCTCTCATCGAGTGACGGGGGAAAGGACATATTTGCTCCAAAATATCCTCTTTGCCCCGTCAGGAGATAGAAGTAACATGATATTTTACTCGACACATGGAATATCCTATTTATTATATACTTTTTGTGCAGTTGTCAACCGGAAATTTTTTTTTTTTAAATTACACAGGTAAAACCTTGAAACGTTCCGTATTTGCAAAATCTTAAAACAAAAGTAACAAAAAATATTTCATGTCAATAAAATTCTTTGTCATACATTTGGATATGATTATTGTTCGAAATCAAATTCCCCAATTCTTGAAATCTACGAGACCGTAGTTGGAAACGAGAGAGTACACGCTGGTCAAGTCACAATAATGCCGCTTTGTGAAACGAACAGTCTCGATTGACGAGTTAAATGAGAAATGCACAGTTATAATATCAAGTGTTATGTTCACTGCAATGAAAATACCAATTTGCTCACCTTCAGAAAACTCAGTCGTTCACACTGAAGTATATTATAAATACAGAAATCTATCAGTACCCACTGCGAATGACAACATGTGATTAAATACTAAACGCCTCAAAAACTATTTGGAACCCTGAATGGTAGTGCTATTCCCATCAGTATTAAAATCGTTCATGCATGGTATGGCCAGGGCAACCATAATCACTTTGCACACTGATCTAATAGGATTGAATATCATCCAATAGAATCAGTCTGACAGATCATCCCTAGTGACAAACACTTACCTGGTCATAACGTGCTGTAAATGTAATCAAGCAGATCATAATAACCAGTACATTGCTAATGGTGCGTAATGAAAGAGAGATGTTTGATTATAACGTTGACAGAAGGGGAGTGACAGAATGACATTGGTCTCAGCGCCTCCCTCGTTAAGCTTAACACAAAAGGTCGAAATAATTCGTCCGTAAATCGATATGACAGTACAACAAAGTCAACAGCAGGATTAAACAATTGTCTTCTTCCTATACAACCATTAAGTTGTTTTGAGAATGGTGCGTTGGCAAGAGTGGCATGCTGAGGGGTCGACGGGTGTTGGATTGAGTGTGAGTGAGTGAGTTGGGTTTAACGCCGCTTTTAACAGTATTCCAGTTATATCGCGGCGTGTCAGCTTAGTGTGGGTGGAAAGCCCGAAGTGATGCAGCTCTCAGACGTTTACCACTTCGGAGAAACCCACGAGCACGGGTATGGTGCTGACAAACCTAGAAACATAATCGGGGCGAACCGGGATTCGAACCCACAATCATAGGTTTCTGGCGTGGCCAAGGGACGCAACTCTGCACAGCGAATCGCGGCGCCTTAGACGACTGGGCCACCCGTGCCCCCCAGGTGTTGGACTGACACAAGCAGGTAGTGCTTCACGGCCGATATGCTGGTATCGCGACTAGGGATCAAGGATTTATGTTTGGGTTGGATACGAAGGGACATTGTCACTAGTGAGGACACATCAAATGACGCTCACCTCTATTTTATGTAATTAAACAATATTTTATTGTGTAACTTATAAATAATGCTAAATAATTTGATATGATTTTCGGGATTCCTTCTATGGATTTATTTTGTTTAAATATTCTTGA